CTGCTGTATTGGTATATATTTTGTTTGTGCTGCTTCTTAATTTCATTGAGGGCTATGAGAAAGAATGGGCATGTCTTCTGACCCAGCTGCTCTACAACATTTTCTATACTTCAGCCTATGAAGCACCAGTATTTTTTTTTTTTTTTTTAGTTTTTCTTCATTTCCTCTCTTCCTCATTAATTCTGAGGTGATGTTAACAACAAGCAGCACCGCTTTCTCAGGTTATTCATCCCACACAGTGCCAGGCCTGCTCTGAATGATGACACAAGTGAAAAGGCTAGAAAATCCATTAATTTAAAGCTGTAATAATGCTGTGACCTCAGCGCATCTCTACCATTTCATATTTGATACGGGTGCCACTAGGTACTTACACACTTCCAATAACTGTCTGTAGTAGAGCTCAAACAATATGGATCGCAGATTGAAGTTATCAAAGCCTCTGGGTTTTTTCAGTGTTCTATTTCATCTGCAATAGACAATGAAACAGAAAAGAGGTTTTTTTCTCTGCGACTTCTTGTAGCCTCCCTTGATTTAAACAAATATGACTTAGAGCGTTTCTCTTCCTATGAGCTCTTTTACCCCAGATCAGAGGAGTTACACAGCTGTGCTGCTTGAATAGATCTGGTGTTCTAGTGGAGAAGGCAGCGCCTGCAGCACTCTCACTGAAGATGGCACCTTGGTAATACAAGATATCACCATAAAAGGTCCTGCTCCTGATTTTGCAGTGATTTGGTCTGACAATTCAGCAGTGGGATCACTGAAGGGAACAAGTGAAGCTATTAAATTATAGTCCATACAAAGAATTTCAAATGGGACAAGTTTATTTCCTTATGCTTTGGAGCAGGCGTTTGACCTGGGAATACAAACATCTGCCTTTCCCTCGTTTCCACAATACCCAATGTTTCACACAGATCTTGGACTAGCTTTGTTGGCTGCAGTGAGCATTAAGAATTAAGATGGGCCAGGTCTTGAGAGAGCGTGTATCATTTGGGCCACTCTACTGGAGATACGATCCTTCAGATTTTTAATATGAATATCTTTTGAAGCCAACACGTTCTACACAAGTTATTCCAATGAACCTAAGGAGCAGCAGCAGTTTAGAAACAAAGTTGAACAGGTTTTTTATGTTTTATTGCTTCTGAAAAGTTCTGAAGCTGTTTAGAACAAAGAGTGTGTGCCATGGGTGGGCACGAAGGGCCATTGACACTTGACTCATGTTAATTTATCTAGAGACTTTATGGAAAAAAGTTGTACTTTTTGGACAGAGAAAATCTCCTAGCACTAGAGGGCAAAAATATACAAATTTAATATAATCTGAGTAGTAAAGAGCATCTCTGGGCTTCCAAGAAAATTAAGGATGAGAGGTTTCTGAGAACTTACGACGTTATGAAAAATGGCACAATGAAAAATATGCATTTCTGTTGAATGCCACTTAAAAAGAATGAATGTAGGTTGTGAACTTCTTTTTCAATGATTGCAAAAGTCAAGATGCTCCTCAGATTTTTTTCTGTCGACTCACAGATCACATGACTGAATTTAATTTCACATAACACTGGATTAAAGAAAAAAAAGTTCAAGATGGAGTTTTTTGGAACAAGAGTAGATATAATGGCTTGAATCTGTGCTGAAGGGAATGCATTGTCACAAAACTCTTGGACAATTTTTATTGCAAGTTACTAAAAAATCTTTAGGTTTTTTTTAGTTGATGAACTTTATTCTACCTCAAACAGTTTGCTTATAACAAGATAATAATGTGTGATCAGGGATATGCTTTCATGATATCTCATCCTTATGTAAGTTTGGATGAGAGTATAAATCCATAGAAACCACTAAACCGTCTCTTCAAGCTGATTAATTCAGTGCAGTAACTGAGCTTGATAGCGTGTGTTTAATTACAGCCTGTCTTTCAAAAGGGTATCTCGTGTGGGATTCATCTCACATGGTACCTCTGATTTTTCTGACAATGATCTTGACAACTGCGTGTTGGATAAAGACATTGTTATCCTATCCAGGACAAACAGCCAGACCTGCAACTGAAAAAAGTCTCAGTAATGGTTATAGTCTTTAGGCATGTGTAGAGTAGCCTTATAATGGTTTGCATGATACAAAACCCAGGAAGAATATTCCTTATAGTTTCAGTACCAAAAGAGGCTAACTGTTCTTAGGCCAATGAAGACAGTTGTCACCTTCAGCTTTTCGTAGGGGAGCATCAAGGGAAGACAGTAGTGAAACTGTAATCGCTCTTTGTTGGTCTTTAGGCTCACAGCTCGCTTAGGGGTCTTCTTTCAGTTCTTTAGTATGCACCTTCTGCTCACAGGCAGATGGGTACAGCACTCCCAGCATTTCTGTTCCCTCTTTGATTCCAGATAAAGCATCTTTAAAGGAAGATGGATCTTCCCTCCAGTTACCTTTCTAGTGTGGTATCTACCTTCTCAGCCAGACCTCCTTGCTAGTGACGGTTTTCTCCTGAGAGAAAAACTATTGCAGAGAGAATGGAAAAGAGTGCTTTTATAGTGTTCCATATTCCAAATATACCTTCCTGTACAGTTGTGTTAGCTTTGTTCTTATGGCTGCTGTTTGTTGGAGTCTGGAGGGGAAGAGATCAGATCTCAGATGCTGCAGCATCTCCCAGAAAAGGAAATAAAATATTTCTGT